TTTTTTTGGTTTTTGGAGACAGGGTTTCTCCATGTAGTTTTGGTGCCTGTCCTGGAGCTAGCTCTGTAGACCAGGCTGGCCTTGAATTCACAGAGATCTGCCTGGCTCTGTCTCCCTAGTACTGGGATTAAAGGCGTTTGCCACTGCCACTCGGTGGTGCTTAGTCTTACTGCAACTTGATATGACATACTTTTGTTGAAACCCATGGGAGGCCTGACTCTTTCTGAACAGAAACTGAGGAAGAGTGGTTTGAGGGGGAGGGTCTGAAGGGAGGAGGGAGGAAATGGGAGAAGAGGGAGAGGGAAATTTTGGTTAGGATGTCAAATTAATTAATTAAATTTTAAAGAAGATATATAATTTTATTTATTTATTGCTTTTTTTGAGACAGGGTTTCTCTGTGTAACAGCTCTGGCTGTCCTGGATCTCATTTTGTGGACCAGACTGGCCTCAAATTCAGAGTTCCACCTGCCTCTTTAAGATATTTTAATGGATACCTATTTTTCACCATATCAAGAGTTTGATTGGTTTGGTTTGAACATAAAATTTCACTAGGGGCCTCCCTGGATATTAGAACTTGGTCTCCACCTGATGGTAGTATTGTGGGATGCCCTGAAAACTGTGGTAGAAGTAAGTCACTACAAGTGTGAGTGTAAAGGGTATCTTGCTGGGGCCCTTGCTCTTTATCCCTGCATCCCATCTTCCATGAAGTGAAAAAGCACCTCCACCACATGGTGCTCCCATGATGTTCTGCCAAACCCATGGGATCATGGGCTCTAAACCCATGACCTGAAGTAAATCTTTTTCCCTGCTGTTGCTTCTCCCCAGTATTTTGTCACAGCAACAATAATCCAACCAATACATGCCCGAATAAAATTCAAACTCCTCTAAGAAGCAAAGTCTTCCCAACTCATTTTCCATGATACATCTGCCATGGACTTTCAAGTCTTACTACGCGTTGTCATGCTTCCATCATCTAATCTACATTTTAACACTGTAATTTTTTTCCGTTATCAGTCTCTGGTCTACTGAGGTGTTCTCTCTATTATTTTGTCTCATGTAACTATGTGTCTGTAAAACCCCAGCTTAATTACCACTTCTAAACTTAAAACTCCAACAGCTTAGGTAGCACTTTAAGTGGGGTGGTTGGTTGCACACTTTGACTCAAGTCCTTGTTCTGCCTTTAGTTTTGTTGTGTCTAATAAGGCACTTGTTCTTCCTGTGCCTCAGTTTCTTCACCCCTGTAAGAAGGATGAAAATATCATCTGTCTTTAGAATAGTTTGAGTAACAAATGAAATAATGAATGTAGATTATTTGGAATATCACCCCCAAAATCAATCACTCAATAATCATTGCATCAGTAGCAGTAATTTAGCAATGACAATATATTTCTCCACAGCTCTAATCCTCTCTTCTGGTAGACTTTTCTACCATTTATAAAAATGACACAGAATTTGGACTTTAATGAGATTCAGATTTCTGTCACTGACATCATCCTATGGTATTCTTAATCTGTCTCTTCAATGCCATTTGAGAGCCCCAAAGGACAGAAACTACATCTTTTACTTTTTACTTTTCATCTAGTTTGGATTTCAGACTCAGTGTAGGAAGCCCTTTATCAGTAAGTGGCTGAGTTTTTCCTACTCTGCTTCACATTGTGGTTCATATTTACCCTGTGTGTAGGAGCTAGAGGTTGGAGAAGGATCTGCCCCTTCATTTTTACCTTGACCTAGAAAGTAAAAACATAACTTTCTACAAATTAAATTAAATTTTTACCTCTCCAGAACTTTTACAGTATTTAATTTTCTTTCTTTGCTGAGGAATCCAGGAATCAGATGATAAATTAGACCTAAAACAAAACCAGGATAATCCCTTCTTCTAAACATTTTTCCTGCCAAGGTTTTTGTAGTGGCCAATCTAAATATTCAGAATTGATTGAAGAAATCAACTCTAGTATGAAACAGCATGGGCTAACTGTAAATATATGCATGTATATGTATACATGTTTGTATGTATTTATGTAAATATAAGATTAGCACCAGGTATGATAGAAGCAGACTATTCTACATACAAGAAATCAGGGTACATATAATCTTTAAAGAATTGAAAAAATAAGGAAACCAATTAAAATTGGTGTGATAACTATCTCTATACACCAGCAATGCTAAGCAACATCATTGACAAAATATTCCTCCCTCCTGGAGGTGGACTACTCCCACTGACACCCACAAACATGCGTCTCCCACATCACTGTTCAAAAATTATCCTTATAGAAAGTGAACCTTTTCTGGTCCTTCTGATGATTCTTAAATATCTTAGAACAATTTTAAAAATAAAACAAACAAAAAATCCTTATCATCTTTATTTATTTGTGTGTGTATATGTGGACACACGTGTGTGTGTGAAGGTCAGAGTACAGCTTACAGAAGTCAGTTCTCTCCTCCCACTCT